CAGCCTTCCCAGTAGCCGGAATTACAGCCATGTGCTACCATGCCCAGCTGATTTTTTGATTTATTGTAGAGATGAGGTCTCGCTGCCCAGGCGGGTCACGAGCCCACGGGCTCAGGCAATCCACTCACCTCAGCCTCCCAAAGGCGCGAGATTACAGGCTAAGCCACCGAGCCCGGCTAATTTTTGTATTTTTTGTAGAGACGGGATCTCACAATGTTGCCCAGTCTAGTTTCAAACTCATGGACTCAAACAGTCCTCCTGCTTCTTCCTAAAGTGCTGGGATTACAGGCATCAGCCACCATCTCAGCTCCACCTACTTTTTTGATTATGGTAAAGTTTCATTGGAACACAGCCAGACCCTTTGGCTCGTGCATGTCTGGTATTCCTGCACATTGGCGAGGACTTCGGCTCGCACAGCCTAGATACGCAGTCTCTGGCCCTTGTGGGAACACTGTGCTGGCCTTGTTCTCTCCTCCACTTTCTCCCAGAGTCCCATCGTCAGCCACAGTGTGTTCCAGCTATATTCTCAGTCCTGGAGCACACACAAAACAGCTCCAGGTCTGCTAAAATGTACTGTTGTGAAAAACACCTTCTGCCTAGAGCATGGTAATTGCGCACAGTTCTGTTTGTATTTATCCCTGGAGTGCATAATCATTTACTTTCCACAGTTACTTAGGTTAGTCCCCTCTTATGCTATTTATTGTTAGTGCCATTAGCTTCATTTGTTTTGGCTAGTGTTCCATTCGAATCTTCTCTGTCTTTTTAATTGTTTGTTTATTTCTTTCTTTTTTTTAATATAAAAGAGAGGATCTCACTGTGTTGCCCAGGCTGGTCTTGAACTCCTCCCACCTTGGCCTCCCTGAGTGCTAGAAATAAGCCACCATGCACAGACTGTGTGTTTATTTCTTGATTACATGAAGCATGAGTATGTTTTTAAAACTCAGAACCAGGATTTGCAGCCGCCACCACCTGGAGCCCTTTTCCATCAGCCATGGCCAGCCTCGTATCCTCTGACATTGCCCTCAACGGCAAGCCCTTGGCTGTGTTTCCTTCTAGCTATCTATAGACAAAGTTTGAAAGACAGTTCGTGCTCTGAGCACTGGAGAAAGAGGGTTCGGTTATAAGGGCTCCTGCTTTCACAGGGTTCATGTGCCAGGTTGGTGACTTCACAAGCCAGCGTGGCACTGCAGCAAGCCCATCTGTGGGAGGTCATAGAAGATGAAAATGTCATCCTGAAGCACACAGTCCTGGCATCCTGTCCATGGCAAATGCCGGACCCAACACACGGTGCCCAGGTCTTCATCTGCACCACCAAGACTGAATGGTTGGGTGGTGGGTGTGTGGTCTTTGGTAAGACAAAAGAGGGCATGAAAGTTGTGCGAGCCTGGGGGGATTCAGGTCCAAGAATGCAAGACCAGAAGGAAGGCCACCATTTCTGACCCTGAACAACTCTAGTAAATTTAACCTATTTTATCTTTAAAATAAAAATGAAAGTTGGAACCATATAAAAACTTAAATTCAGAAGTGTGACTCCTCGTTCCATCTGTTCCAGCTGTCTTCTCCCATTCTCTCTGTCTGGTTCCCTCTCACCCCCATAGGTAGCCGGTCTCGTTAGTTTCTGTGTTATCCTTTGTTCTTTGTGCACACATGAGTAGACTCTCATATCTTGTTGAATTAAGAATATTAGTAACAGGCAGGCACAGTGGCTGACGCTTGTAATCCCAACAATTGGGGAGGCCAAAGTAGGAGGATTACTTGAGGCCAGGAGTTCAAGACTAACCTGAGCAATGTAGACCCTGCCTGTATTTTTTTTTAATTTTCTTTTAATGCCGGGCTCAGTGGCTCAGCCTGTAATCCCACGCCTT